AATTAATAAAAATATTGAAGAATTATTTTTATACAATTATTTTTACAGAATATTCAAAATCCAACTTTTGATATTTATATATTCACTTCAAACTTTAAAAAATAAACACTGACAAATCATTTGCAAAATAATTCCTACACGGTTGGCTTATATCGATATGTCATTCACAGCGTATACGTAACAAATTTCCATTAAACTCTTAAACGGTCACTCTTTGTAGCATTTGTTAATTGCTTTTAATAGAAGTATTTAAGCAATTTGTTGTATATTATTGCTGCTACTTTGCATTATAACTTAATTAGTTTTATATTTTTTTGCATTTCCGTTTCTATGTTTATTACAGCGCACTGATATTGTTAATTGTTTAAGTGGTTTACTGATTTGTGCGATGACTTTTAATAGAGAGAACAAAAAAGATATTCACATAAAAGTAAAATTATTTAAAAAAAAAAAAACAAGAATAAATTTCATAAGTAAAAACGTTTCCATACAAGAATTTGGTTTAAATCGTATTATTATATATATGTAATGTATAATATTATACAGTTCTCTTGACACAATTCCTCGAAATTACTTAAGGAATGTTTTCTGTCGCTACAATTACAACAACAGCGGTTGAACGGAAATGYCTATCAACTTAGATCATTTATAATTAATAATAGATCACATATAAGAAGCATTAAGCATACATTGTAGATTTTAGGCATCATTCAAATTGTTGTAATTTTCATCCCAATACGCCGTTAGTTAGTCAAACACTCAAATCATTTTGCTACTCACTTTAAAAAACCATTATATGCCTACATTTATAGTATGTAAATAAATATTAAAATTTCAAAAAACAGACAAAAGTCAGCGTCTAACGGCGACTAATCGACACAAAATCGCTTCATTCAACGCGTGCGCACGAACACAGTTAACCTTAGGCAAGCAGCAGTCAATCAGCGTGACTCCAAGCCCAAATTTACATATGTATGTACAAACTCATATGCAAATATATGAGCAAAAGAGCGTGTCGTCCCAGTTTGCGAATATTTATTTCTTTTTTGTCTGGGTTTAATGATGTCTTGTGACCAAAGGGAGCGTATTAGGTGACATTTATTGCATGAAAACTGGTTTCAGATAGGTTTAAGATTTGGCATATTAGTCTTTTGATGTAATGTGAATTAATAATCATATTTCTGATTTTTTTTTTTTGTTTGCAAATTTTGATTTCTTTTGTAATTCACTAAAATTTACAACGTTTTTGGGTTATATTAAAATTCAAGTTAAAATGCGGAAAATCCAAGAAATAACACTAATGTTGAAGGGCAAAACAAATWTATGGCAAAAAACTGCAGAATTTTGAACCTTAAACAATTTTAGTATTTAATTTTATTCGTTATTTAAATGACGAACGAAAAATGTAGTATATTTACGAAGCGTGAAGTCGTTGTAATAAGTAAATAAACTAGATTTCAGATAATACGAAATTTATAATTGATAACTGTTACTGTTACTGTCACTCCTACTGTTACTCTTGCTGCTGCTGTTACCGTTACTGTTACTGTTACTCTCTCTTAGTGTTACTGTTACTGTTTCTGCTGCTGCTAATGCTACTRCTGCTGTTAATAAAGAAACACTCGTCTTTTATAACAGTTTTAGTAGCAAATAATGATAAACAACATCAATGCATCAGCTCAGTGTTTTTACTAATAATAACTTTATGAATTAATTGTCAATCCACTGAATTTCTACATTTTAAAGCTTAGAGCCTGTATCGTGGCATTACTGTAGTTTTGAGAGTCTCTTTCTTTTAASCCAATTTGAAATATCAAAGACTGCTAGGATCATATAAAAATATATAACCGAACACTTTTATGAATGTTTTAAATTTTCTCCGATTTTCAAAAAAATATATAAGAAACACATATATACATATGTATGTATAATAAAAAACATAAAACAAAAAATAATATAAAATAATAATAATAATAATTTTATATATGTAAGTAAAATTCTTTTTTTTTTCTAATTTTTGTTCCAAATCTCATTTCTTATTCCTTGCACCCTAAGAACTGAACATTTTATTAATTTTAAATATTTCCTCTTCCACCATTAAAGCCATCATCACGCCCTGAGTCCGACTTCACTTTGGACCTGCCACGTGCCGAGCAGCTACGCATCAAAATGGAAAAGGAAAAGAAATTCCGGCAAAGATGTCGCTACATCACAACATTTCTGAGTCTGGTCTTCTTCTTGCTCACCGTTATGGTGGTCAGTTTGGTGTTGACGCGCGGCAAGCGCATGTTCGGCAGCATGATTTAAAGCGAAAGCAGAGAAAATTAAGARCTTTCAGTAAAATACAAAATTTGAGAGCTAGATGGGAGGCAAAATAAAAAGCGCGAAGTAAGCGAAACTAAGATAAAATTCAAAATTGCAAAGACGTCAGCTTAAGATTATACTCGTATACGTAAAAGCAGTTTACCTTTGACATATGCGCATGTTTTATCAAATTTTGTTTTCGAATTTTTGTTTATGCGAACTTTTATTAGAACTGTCAGATAAATGAGTTTCATTATTATTAGTTAGCATTTTTATTTGAAATTTTTATTGAAACCAGTTTCGATTTTGAGCTTGATTTCAAATTGCTTTTCATTAATTTTGGTTTTGGAAAAGTGTTTTTTGTGTGTTTAAAAAATCGTTCTAAATATGAAAAACACACTGAAATTATGTACGAAAGAGTCAAAGAACGCTGGAAATTGTGAAAAAAATKTGTTTTGTAAGTCTGTTATCCTTGTAATAATTATGCAAAAATTTGTGGCTTTTCAATTTAAATATTTCTATTTCTTGGCTTAATTAAATTTTTTTTGCATTCCTTGTTATTTTATCTACATACATACATATATATATTTTTTTGACTTTTCTTTTGCTAAATCCTTCATAAAAATATTTTTTTGGACTTTTCTTCTGCTAAACCCTTCATAAAAATTAATTATAAGGACGAAAATATGTTCAATAYAAATAATTAAAAATCGAGAAATATATTTTTAGTTGATTTTATATAATGTAAGCAATTTAATTTAATGTTAATGGAGTACAACGAAGG